TCTCTCTCTCTCTCTCTCTCTCTCTCTCTCTCTCTCTCTCACTCTCTCTCTTTATGGTTTTATTAAAGTTTCAAGTAAGAAAGTACGGGGAAACTAACTAGGCAGGTAACTAAAATCTGCCGTTTGTTATAAAATATTGGTAATTAAGGTATGATGCTGTTCGTAAATATTTATTGCCATACTTTCTTTTTCGTACAAATGAAGAAAATATCAGTATTATTCTGGGATTAGACAATAGCGATAATATATATATATATATATATATATATATATATTATGATGTATACACCGTTATATATTTTGGACAAATTTTCAATAAATTTAAATTTCGAAATTACAAAAGCTGTTTCTTCTTCGAAAATTTACGGCTAATGTATGGATAAATATTGTTATCCGTTTTTAAATCGAATAACGGTAAAATTACAATTTGCAATCGCGTTTTATTTTTTTTTTTTTTGTAACGCGAAATAAAGATGGAAGCGCGAAATATCGAAAGATGGACACGAGTTATGGACGAGCGGTGTTAAAAAAAATTAGTATAATAATTTTTCCTCCGGTTACGTGCAGTTTGCGTTTCTCGAAATAAAATTTATTACGTTGCATTAATAATTTTTATTTACATAAGGATACACACGTACATCAAAGCATTCGTTGGCAATGATAACTAGATTCCACCGTGTGATTTATTACCACGATTTTATTCCATTCATTTAATTACATCGGGTAAACAATCCGCTTAGATTTATGATCGTTTTCAAGTACCTACTTACTTACGCATAAAACTTTATACCCAAGAGTCGTAAGCAAATCTATAATCTGAAAATTACGAGTTTTACGACTCGAAAATTAAAAATTCTAAATTCTATTTCAATACGGAGATGTTTCCTTTCACGAATATTTATTTAATTTTGACGAAGGTTTAAGGCTCAAACTTCTTCTTGGAATAATGGACGGAAAATAAATAGAGGGAAAATACGACTACGAGTCGAACTTACCTTTTGTTCTCTCTCCCCCCCCCCCGCCCCGCCCTCCCTCTCCCTCTCCCTCTCTCTCTAAAAATGTATACATACACACACACACACATATATATATATATATTTTGAAGAAAAAAAAACGATATATCGGGAGGAGGCGTCGTAAAACGACATAGGCATAAGGTTGAAAAGACTTTTCATTCGTAAGCCACAGTAATAAATGTGAATAGTAGCGTTCAATGAAATTAAACGAACGTTTCCGATTGAAAGATGAATACCGAGCCGGGTAATTAAGTAATACAACTTATAAGCTCGACCCTTGGCAATTCTATTAAAGCGCCGAATTTACAGCTTTACGACAGCTATAAAAAATAATTTTCTTTTACAACGATCTTATCCCGAACGCTGTCACGTCCCCGAACGATTACCACGCTATTTGCGGTGAAAGTATAAATGTTTCAAAATCTCGAACGTTACACTACTTGCATAAAATATTGCACGCGAGTTTCGAAACGCGAAAAATTACGAAATAATACGATATATCATATATATATATATATACGTAATAAGGATAAACTTTCCTTCCTTCTTATCTTTGTTTCGTCACACCGCGCGAAGAAAAGAAAAGAAAAGAAGAGAAAAAGAAGGGGGGACCAAAACTATTGTGAAACGCGTGTCAAAAATCTATTCTCTCTTTTAATTTAGAAAAAAGAACGAAATAAAAATTCGATCTCGCGATCGAATATATATATATTATAATTCGTAGAAGATTGGTTCCGAATAAATTTAACGCAAATACGTTTTAAATGCATACGTAACAGCAGGTCGAATGCATATTGTAGCGATTAATGAATTTGGGTGAAATAGATTGAGGTGGTAATGGAACTGGTATATGTTCACGGACGTGGATGGGTTCCGTGCTGCATCGAAATGCATATCAATTGTTTCATGGAAATTCGAGTGTTACTTCCCTTCATTACTATTCACAGAATTATACCCGATTGTACCCGCACGTACATGTGCAATGCAGACAAGTTGATTTACATAATTCGTATCGATCACGAAATTGCGCGTTATTAGGTGAGTTAATTTGATCTGTCGTTTCAAACCTGATTTCCCCATCTCATTTTTATAATCTCCGCGACATTCCCGATAAAATAACCCCAGATCGCTCTTCCCTCCATTCTCCTTCATCGAAAATTATCATCTCTCCCGTCCTCCACGTCCCGACCCTGGAATCGCGAAAGAAAAAGTGAGTTTGTTGTCGGCCGTTGTAGACTCCACCACGCTTGTAGACAGAAGGGGAAGAAGGCTCGGGTAATTATTACTCTCCGCGTGTCCTCTAACCAGCGCTAATAACGCCGCTAATGCCCTTCCGTGGAAACGCCAAGATAACGCGCACGTTCGTTCCTTCCTTTTCGAACGCGATCTATAAAACGAGCTTCTTCATCACTTTTTTTTCTTTTCTTCTCTCTCTCTCTCTCTCTCTCTCTCTCCTCTTCCTCCAAAGTTTCGTCGTGATTTCTCACGTGCCAGTCGGAAACTAGTCGGAGAGCGGATAATCACCCTCCGTTCGCCGCGCATCGATCAGCCAAAACGTAAACGCGATTAGTATAACGTACGGCTAATGAACTAATCCCGCCACGTCCTCGACGAGCACGACACCTATCCCGTGTCGGCTCCGTTCATTCCCTCCCTTTCTCTCTCTTCCCCTTTCCTCGATCCTTTTTTCCCTTCCTCCCCTCCCCTCCCCACCCGTGGTCCAGAAACGAGCGCGTTATTTATGACCGGCCCGTTGCAACTTTGCTCGCGCATTCTGCGCAAGGGCCGTGGAGGAAAATCGACAGCTGTCGCTTCGTTCGCCACCTCCGTATATCCATCTTCTCTCCTCCTCCCCTCCCCTCCCCTCCCTCTCTATCCTTCTCGCGTCTATACACACAGACACACACACACACACACATCTTCACCACGATCTCCACTTTCCTTCCACTTTCTTCTCCACTTTGTCTCTGCTTTGTCCTATACCTGTGCATATATATCGGTCTGTATACCTGAATGAACGGAGAAATTGTCGTTGGGGCGGGAACCCCAATTCGTCAAAAATTGTTAAATTTCGACCAGGAGGAAAAAGGGAATATCGGGATCGAATCCACGATTTGGATTCAAAGAGTTACTTGGTTACTTGCGTGGATTGAATCGCGGTTGTATCGGTGCGCAAAAGGCGTTATTTACGTCCTCTTTGTCGGGCCATCGATAACCCGGGCGAGGAGAGAAGCGCGGCGTGGCCTAGTGTACGTACGCACATAAATAATGCGAGCGCAATTTCCCATGTAATTGATGGGCTACCTTCCCCCTCCCCCATCTTCCAACCATCCCTCCCATAATGGCGGGATGTTGGCCGCAGAGCAGCACCCTGTGGGGCGTAAACTCGACAATGCCTTCGTCACGCCGCGCATTGTTCGCCACCGGCGAGAGGAGTTCACTCTCGGCCTTGATTTACCGTCCCGAGTTCGCTGCTTCGCCCCAAACCCCGCAAACACCGTGTACACCCAAATTTTCCATCCAAAGATCCTTCCATCCCACCCGTTGAAACATGCCTCCTACCAAACTTTTACCACTCCTCTCCTTACCAAACCGCCCTAGACACCTTCTATCTTTAATATCTCTCCCTTCTGTTCACCCGAAATTATCCGATTAATCCTTACCGAATGGATATTTTCTACACGAATATATAGTCCCTCGACTCCGGCCTAGAAACAGGCGAAGTATTAAGAAATAAAAAGAGAGGGCGGCGAATCGAATTACGATACGTGCGAAATTTTCGCAAGGCCGTTCGAAGAATATTCTCTATTGATCGTGTATATCGATTCGAAATTATTTCGCGAACGGGTATATATAATTTATATCTCGTGGACGAGAGTGGGTGGAGGGGATGGTGGAAGTGAAATTGGCGGAGAAAAAGAAGAGGGGCAGGGGGGGCGGGGAAATATACACGCATATATACAGTGTAACGTTGTCTCGTTAATACGCGGCGTCGTGCTGGCAATCGGATCAAACGTTAAGCCAGTCCAGACAGGCAGACTAGATTAGGAAGGGTTAACCAACGTAGCGGTGATTTAAATCAATGACGGCGGCACATCTGCTGGCAGAGATTAATGATTAGACGCACGAGAACGAAGCCTGAAACTCGGCGCTTTCAGAGATCGGACAGATTAGAAACTAATTTAACGAGCTGCTTTCATCGTGCGATCCAATATTCATCTCGATCCCTTTTAACCGTATCGCGCTGATACCATCCACTGTCGATTGATCGCGATATTTCTTCTTCCCCCTCCACTTTAAAAACATCCACGTACCATACGGATTTTCATTCTGTGAAAATAAAAAAAAAAAGAAAAAGTTTCCTTTCCTTCTTTTCTTTTTCGCGACATCGATTCTCGTTTATCGTCCGCTCGTTCCATCATGCTTTATATATATGAATACATTGACGTACGACGATGGAATATTATAATTCGTCGCTAATTCGTGTAAAAACGTGTTCGACCGAAACGGGAGTGTTTCGAGTTTCGAGCGTATCGAGATCAGGAATAAAACGGCTCGTTTAGCGTTTGGAAGTTCGAGTTTCGTTAGGGTGGTCACTTACCTTTCCTCCTTCCCCTCCTCCTCCTCCTCCTACGAAACACTAACGAGGAACGCACATAGATTGGGCGAACGGTTAGCGTAGTTAGCGGCTTCGGCTACTTTATTTACGCCGTACACATGTCGACACGAACGACTGTCCTATGTGTACAGTAGCATTCGCTGGTAACCGACTATACAAACATTATCCGTACAGTTGGTATTTATGGATGGGTCCGCCGCGTTCACAATCTTAGTTTATTCATCGCTAAACTGACATCACCTCTGTCAGTCGAAACCCTCGAGCTACCGTACCATTTATCTAAGGAAACAACTTTAACCACTTAACGCTTTCGGACCGGAACATGATCGCTTTGTATCACGTCCAGAGAGGCTGTTTCGCGCCGATAAATAGTTTAACATCGCGTCCAATATATCCGATATATCACGTATATATTTTAAAAAATATGTGAGAGAAAAGAAAACATTTCTCTTTTGTATCGTATGTACTTTTTCTTTTCTTTTTTTTTTTTTTTCTTCGAAAAAAAAAAGTACTCGTTCGCGTTGAAATATAAATTTTTTTTTCTTTCTCGACGAGGTGAAACATCGAAGAAAAAAAAAAAAAAAAAAAAAAATTACTTCGATAAATATCCTCTTTGTATCCCCGATACAAAAGCATCGTCGAGTCCATCCGATGCCTTCACGCCCATCTTTCGGAATGATCGGCACTCGAATATTTCATACTGACATTTTCAACATTAACTCTATTCGTCAAGGCCTGCGCCATCGAATGGCGGTGGCATTCAGCCGTGCGACACTCGTGTATACACTCGCCTTTTAGCCTTCTCTTGCGGCCTTGCACGCTGTGACGAACAGCTGTTCGATTTTGGACACGGTCATTACGCGTATATATATATATACACCGTTCCCCCCCTCACCTTTGCCGCGAGAAAGAATGGATTGTTTAGACAGCCTTCGTTTCCGCTATCTTTCCTGCCACGAGAACATTCCCTAACCTCTTTCCTTTTTCCCTACTTTCACGTTTCCCTCGATGTGCATTACGATCGATGTACACGTAACGCGCAGATATTCGTTCGTTTATTCGTTCGACGACGAGACGGTTAGACGCGAGTCCGTACGTTTATTCGTTACTCGTCCTTTGGAGGGATTTTTTTTCGAGGGAACGACGCAAATACGGGTATCACGAGGTAGCGTTCTTGCGAGAATACTAAAAGGATAAAAGGAGGTTCGAGTATGGACGTTCGAGACTGCGAATTATCGTCGGTATAGTAGGGTCCCCCGGAACCGACTAACAGTTTTGTAAAAAGCTTTTGTGAGTTTAGCAGCGTCGTAACTCGGAGTTTGTCGCCGACAGCGTTTCTACCGTGGGACAGGAGACAAGCGAGCCGTGTATACGTACATATATACACACGTTATACAGAGGATAGTATAGGCGAGAGGTAGAGTGGTTCGGAGACGCGAAGATAAAGCGGGAAGGGCAAAAGAGACGCCCTCGGTGAAATTACAGCCTCGTAACTCTGGGTAAGCGGGAAAGAGCGTATGTGACAGCGGGCGGACAGGCGAGCCGACCGTCCTACCGCGCATGCTTTCCCGGAGTTTTATAGCCATCAAGGGGGGTGTTTCAGCCCCGACTAGCTGCCGTTGCCTTACGGGGTTGCACGCCGTTACACGGTTCCCGCATTCTCGTAAACAACTCGGCCAGACGCGCTTATCACATTTTCGCGATACGCGGCGAACCTGTTCGATCCGTCCTAAAATAAAAATTCTCCGACTTTCGTCTCGATTTCAACCCTTTGCGCTCTTTAAGCACGCTCTTTTCGCTCGAACCAACAACTCCGCACACGATTTACCGCATTCGCTCTGCGACGTGTCTTTGCGTACGAGAAAAGAAAATTCATAGGGTATTAAAGTTTATTGTATAATTGTTTCGTGCGATATTTTAAGATGCATATCCTCCTTTCTTATTTTAATCTTATGTCACATCTCCATTTTCCTTAATTGGATAACGAAAAATCAAACTCATCTTCGCTCGAACTAATTTCTTCACCGTATTTCTTTCTCAAACTAACGCCGAAACTTGTCTATTCGAGAGGCGATATTTAAAAGAAAGTCAAACTTAAAATAATAAATATCGTCGCCGTTCGAACGACCGGAGGCCAAGAGTCATTGAAGCGCAAAGGGTTTTTCTTCTTCCTCTTCCTGCTCGTTACGTTTAACGCTAGTCTCGGATTCGAGGTAACAATTTTCAGAGAACACCCCTCGAATAATCGCCGGCGACGAGCAAACAATTGACCGAGCCGTGTCTAATTGCCGCTGATGATTTCTAAACTGCCCGTCATCTCGCTGCTAATAAATGGATACGGCCGATCCCTTTAACCGGCACGAGATCCGCTCGTTATTATTTTCGTCCAAGACCCGACATTATATAAAAGCCCGGTCCAATTTACTTTCCGCCACGGCGCCACGGAAACAACTCTCGGTCGCCACTTTCGTCAAATTCGCCGCCCATAACCGGGGGATCGTAAAGCCTACTACGATTTCCTCTTTCCTCTCTCTCTCTCTCTCTCCTCTTCGACGAGTCCTTTCCTCCCTTTTACAATCCAGGGCCGATTCTGGAAGACGATTTTTTTCGACAAATTTTCGGGAATAATAGAAAAGGAGGGTCTGATTCTGATCGACGTTAATACGGCGGCAGTTGAAGAAAAGGGCGCGTTAGCCGCGAAGCTTTACGAGCTTCCCTCCTTCGACAAGGCGCCACGGCTTTACGTCGTCGTGTGTCACGCGTCGTTAGTGCCGTTATGAGACGTTTACGATAAGATACGTCACACCGTTCGCCCTCCAAGATTTACCACCGGTTTCCCCGAAAAAGGCTGCTCCTCCGCCATGACAAATTATCCCAAATCCATCCCTTTTCTTCTTTCTAATCGCGACGATAAAAATCGTTTTGGAAATGGAAAGGGTGGACGCGAAACACACGCACGTTCTTCTATTATCGTTAACCACTATATCCGAGGTAAATAAGCGAGGTAAGGGGGAAGGAAGAAAGGGCAATAAAGAGAGGCAAGGTTGGCCGTCGAATGCAAATAGAGAATCGTAGAAACCGGCCAAGTCCGAGGGAAATAACACCGTGTCGTAAATTATCGCGTTTTCGTTCCTCTTAGGGACAAAGAGATTTCGGCATACCTCTCCATCCCGTCCCTAAGAGATGGAGAAAAAAGAGAAAATCTCTAAAAATTATCGACGAACACGCGATGAACGGAGGAGAGAAGGAGGGGGGGGAAAGGAAGGTAGAGGGGAATCGATGGAAAATTCATGGAACGATTCCGGAATTAACGACTCGCCTTGACGCTAATGCGCCGCCACGAGGTTTCGCCGATTGTTCGTGACACTGGTCGCTGTGCACACGTGTTATGACTCAGGAATGATAACCGATGATTTATCCGTGACAGGGTGCAGGTACCGCGGATGGATTATCGTTCCGATTGCAAAGTATGAAATAATTAGGGAGAGGAGCGGTCGGCCATCCATCATCGGCCAACGATGGCCGCTTGTCAGCCGCCCGTTCATTTATCATACTCCGCCCGGCCATCACCCTCTTCCTATTCCCATCGCATCGCCCGCTTGTCCCATTGTTCCTATATCGGACGTAACTGTCCGTTACCGCTAATTACCTCCTGCCTCCCCGACCTCCCCCTCCCAAAGATTACGCGGTATCGAACGTATTAACGGTGCCTCCCCCCCCTCGGTCGTTGCCTCGCCCGACCGAGCAACGACTCCATTAACCGCGTTTGCAAACGTGTATCCTATGTACCCACCTGTCGTGGCCGAGTCGGGCGCGAATCGCCAATCCACCACCGATCCATTCGACTTTCGAAAATTTTGAAATCTCTGATTCTTGACAAACCAGAGTGGAGGAAGATAAAAGTTTTTTGGGGAGGAGGGGCGATCGATAGATAGGGGAGGGGAGAGAGAAGAAAGCCCCTCGTATATTTACGGCTCGACGTGAAAAGCCCATTGTTACGGAGTGACGGCTTGTCCAAACACTCTTAAGTATTTGACTTTCCTTGGTCGAGGCTTGCTTTGACCTGTTCCGGTTTACGCGCCTCGGTTTCACGCACAATGAGACGGGAAATCGCGCCTCTTCTCGAACGGAACAAAACTTGGAAACTCGAAATTTGTCTTGTTCTCTTGTTAATTCGAAGGGAAAAAGTTTCTTCGATCGATGGAAAAAATTTTTGCGAAGGAAAAAAGGCCTGTGTCGAGGCGGAAAAGTTTGCTGCAGGTCCCCACCGGAATTGCCCCTTCGACCGTACACGTCCATTCGTCGGTCGAGTAGTAGTGGTGGTGGTGGTGGTGGTGGTGGTGGTAAGTTTCGAGTCCGGGGGTAAGCCAATATTTCACGAGGAACGGAACCAAGATTGAGGCTGGGAAGCGGTGGGAAGGCCGCTGACCACAGAGAAGATAAATTTGTTCCGCAATTGAGACGGGCGTGCCGTAGTAAATCTTGTCTATTAGCTATCTCTTCTTCCCTTCGACCGCAGGTATAAAACTATAAATCGGGATTGGAAAGACTCGCCCGTATTGAACTTGACCGCGAAAAATTACGCGCCTACAAAGGAAGGACGAGAGAGAGAGAGAGAGAGAGAGAGAGTCACCCACTTTCTTCTCTACACCCTTCACGATCAATCCTCTCTTCCATCTTATCCATCGAAAACTCGAGGAAA